AAAAAGAACACCATGACCATGGTGGTGAGGGAGGTAAAAAGAATCTGGTTTTGAGTATGGTAAATAGATACCAAGTAAGGGCAAATGGACACAGAAAGATCAATGTGGATGAAGAAATTACAATACTGGGACCAGCAGTTAGCATAATGGCTATGTCGCTGGACTCCCACGTAGTCGACCACGGTTCAAGTCCCAGACCCGGTGGCTTAAACTCACGCCGGGCACGTGTGTGTGCGTGCCCAAGATCCCCAGAGGAGAATGGAGGAGAAGGGATTATGGTGTGGCCATCCCCCCGGGGGGTGATTTCTCGCTTTCTGTCTCTCTGTCTCTCTGTCTTTCTGGTGAGCGCACGTGCCCTATAGCGAAAACTTCTCCAAAAACAAAGAAAAAAAAAAGAAGAAATTACAATACTTTTTTTTTAAATTAATTTTATTTATTTTTTTCATCAAAGATTTTTTATACACATTATCATGAGCATTTGTATACATAGAGATCGTACATATATCTTTATGGGTACTTAAATTTGATTGTATGAATATACCATAATATTGACCAACAATATTGATTAATAAGTCAATATTGGTCAGTATTAGTTAATATTAGGAAATTATTGATAATATCCTTGAATAATAGCCATTTATTTTTTATTGATTCGAAGGATCTTAGCTAATATAAATAGTTTCAGTAGCAAGTTCAGTGGATATAAACATTTCTATGAACACATGTCTGATTTTAGGCAAAAACTCAGTTAATAGGATGAACATACTATAAAGTAGCACCTAGCTAAGGCTATATAGTTCCAGTCATTAAATAGGGGTATATATATATATTTTTTTTAATTTTTAAGAAAAGCAGTTTTAGCTTTAATAAGTGCAATATTCTGCTATTGTACAATATCTCAGGCAGATGAAGGATGACAAAGTGGTTCCAGTCATTCTGCTGAGGAACTGAAAGCAAGTTTCCAATATAAATGTCCTAGTTTGGAATCAAAACTTGTCCTCTCTCTCTGAGATGATTAACCACCAAGAAATAAGGCTGTGAGGGTGGGCCCCATGGCCGAGTGGTTTAAGAGAGTCAGATCTCACCTGGTCAACCACGTTAATTGAATCCTGGCCACCTCGTATTGAAAACCCACCACACATGTGTGTGCTCAAGCCCCAAATCCTGACAGAATGGGGAAAAGAAGGAGAAGGGATGTGGTGTGACCATGTACCTTTGGGAGCGCTCTCTGTCCTCCTCTACCTCTCTCTCAGGTGAAAACACATGCCCTCTGACAACTAAGACAAAGAAAAAAAAGAAAAGATAAAATGAGAGGCTGTGGTAGATAAATGAATGTCCAATTTACCTGAAAAGAAGTCCGTTCCCTTGGCTTCAGAGTTTAGTGTCCAAGAAGACTCTTGTTCTCATACCTACAGTTTTCATTCTTGTCTTTTTTTGTTTTAGAACAGAGATTTCATTTTAAGGGGGAAACTATTTACCAAACTAAACAACTAAAAAATTCAACAATGTTAAGAAAAATTTGCCTAAGACTTAAAGCCAGGAAAAAGGTTAGGATTCTGTTCAAACAGTGGATAGATACTAAAAATTCAAAAAACAGATATGGACAAAGGTAAAATGTAGTATGAAGTGCATTGTAATTTTCTTCTGAAACATTTTTTTCTCTCTCCATTCCACCTTTTACCAAAGAGGCACAAACTAACTCATTAGCAAATAAATAAATAAATAAATAGATAGATAAATTTAGTCTCAATTTGGTCTGTTATTTTCACAAAGCCCCATAATAATACTAATTGATTTAGTTGGCTTTTCTGGAACCTTCTATAAGGAACTTCAGATTAGATTCTTTAAAAAGCCTCCCAAGGCTTCTGAACCAAGTTAGGGACTCACCATCTGCCTGTTCCTTTAAGTGCCTGTATTTGAAACTTTTTTGGGCCTGTCAGGAAGTGACATTCTTTATTTATATGCCAGGCAGAACTATTTATGGTACCAGGCAATCTTTCCAAGAGCTTCTGTTGGCTTTCTTGAGATTTACCTTAGTTCCTTAGCTTTTTGGTCATATCTTCAGAAATGACATTCCAGTGGAAGCCCTGGCAATAACCAGTATTTCAAATTTCTGGTGCAAGGCAATAACTATTATTGAACTTAGGCAAATAACCATTCTGCCACAAAATAAGGATACCCACAAATATTTTCCAATTCCAGAGGGGTCAATAAATGAGAAGTGTATGTTTCAACTTCCAAAAAAATTAGCAAATTGCAGAACCTTTCAACAACTCAAAAGACAAAATCCTTAAATCTGGAAAACAAAGCAAAGGAGAAAATCAGCAACGTTTTAGTCAAAATTCATAAAATTATATTTCTTCTGTACAGGCTCATGTAATTAACCTCTCTTCTGTTGAATTTGCAGAGTGACTGTGGTCTGATCCTTCTGTTTACATTCTGGAAGTTAACGTTCAATGTTATTATTGATCTTCCTGGACTCATCCCTACCATTAAGTTGGACATTTTCTTGGTTGCTTTTTGTTCTCTTATTTTTGTGTGTCTGTCTTTAGTTTTTCCTGGTATGGCACTCCCTTCAGAACTTTTTAAAGAGCTGGTCTGGTGTTAGTAAATTCTTTCTGGTTTTGTTTATCTGAGAATGTTTTTATCTTTTCTTCTCATATGAAGGATAGTCTTGCTGAGTATAGTATTCTTGGTTGAAATTATTTTTCACTTAACACTTTGAATATATTTTCCCATTCTTTCCTTGCTCACATTGTTTCTGATGAGAGGTCTGACGTTAGCCTGATGGGATAACCTTTGTACATAACTTGATGTTTCTCTCTCACCAATGTCAGTGTCTTGTTTTTGTCTGTGGTTTTGGTCAATCTGGCTATAATGTACCTTGTAAAAGATCTTCTATGTGGGGCCCTTTGTATTTCTTGAGTCTTGGTCTTTGAATGCCTCTCTAGATTTGGAAAGTTTTCTTCCAAGATTTTATGGAATAGATTATTAATAACTTTATTAGTTTCTTCACCTTTTGGGATATCAATTGTCCAGATGTTTGGACATTTAATGGTATCTAGTATTTCTCATATAGTATTCTCATTTCTCAGTCTTTTTTGGTGATTTTTTTCAAGGTCAGAGGTTTTATCTTCTACATCTGAGATTTGACCTTCTGCATGATCTAATCTACTTTTAATACTTTCAAGGGAGATTTTGATTTCCTGTATTATAGCCTTCATCTCTAACAGTTCCATTTGATTCTTTTTTATGGTGTGTATTTTTTCTTTCAGATCGTGGAAGAACTTTCTCATCACCTGGAACTCATTGTCTCTTTACTCTGACATCTTCTAGAGTCCATTGCCTTCTCCTGCATCTTTGTTAGTTTAGTCACTATGAATAAATTCTGAAATCTTCGTCTGACATATCTATGAGTTCCATTGAATTGTCTGTGAATGGTGAAGAGTTGTTCTTTTCCCTTGAGGGAGAGAAATTTTCTTAGTTTTTCATATTTCTTGTGCTCTTCTGTGGTTTCTGGTCATAAGCTTGTGTGTTTCCATTTGGTGTGAGATACTTCTGTGCCGGTTGCTCTCCTCTACTGTGTTTTGCAATGTGAAATCCACAGAGAGAGACTTGAGTTCAGATTTATGAAGAGGAATATGTCCCTCTGTGCAGCTCTAAGACTAGCGAAATTCAGAGGTTTGGCTACTATGCACATAAACCTGTCTGTGCACTTACTGAGTGGAAGCTGATCAGCAAAATGATAGAATGAGGTAGGAGAAAAAGAGAATGCAAACCAAAAAAGAAAAGAAAAAAGAAAGAAAAGACAGAATAACAGTCCGAAAAATTAAAAAAAAAAACTGCATGTTGCGCTTGCACAATGTGCGAAATGAGCAAAGCACCTCAGATGTAGGTGTTTCCCTGCAATGTCCTTGTCCTATGTAGGGAGAGGAGAGTAAAGAATTAGCAAAATAAAGGATTAAAAAGAGGAGAGAAAAGAAGAATGAGAAAAAAATGAAAATACAGAAAAATAAAAGTTTTTTCTTCTACCTTTCTAGCTATGGGCCAGGGAGGTGAGTAGTGGGGGTCATTGCAACTTGGGGCTTCTCAGCCCTCATGTTGGTACCAGAAATGAGTAGAGAACCTCAGATGTAGATGTCTCTTTGAAATATCTTTGTCCTTACTAGGTATGAGCTTGGGAAGTTAGTTGGAAGGGGTGGAGGGGCTCCAACTTGGGGCTGCTCAGCCCTCACGTTGGTACCAGAAACGAGCAGAGCACCTCAGACGTAGATGTCTCCCTGCAATGCCCTTCGAAATTGCAATACTCTTGGCAATAGATGATACCAAACTGGTGATGATGAAGATAGAGTGTTATGGTGTCAGGTAACAGGACTTCCTGATCATTGGATGGAGAGTGATGGAATGAGAAAAATTAAGGTTAATTTCTAGAGTGTTTGCTTCTGGATGGTGGTGCCTCTTAAGGACATGGGAAATCACTGGAAGAGCAGGTGTGTGAGAAGAAATTCTGACAGCACAGAATATGAAATAAAAATTGATTCTGAATAAGGCATTTTTTAAAGGAGAAAATAAATCTCATATTCTCCAAAATTTATGTTGTGTTTTATACTATTGGATTCTCATGCCAGTTTTCTGTGACTTGTCAAATTTTGCTAAACTTAGCCAAGAAAATATATTACTTGATTAATTTCTAGAGAATTAATAAGATGCTCTCCTACATTTGCTAATTTATTTCAGAGAGATTTTTGCTATAGGGTAGGTGCACTCACCAAAGAGACAGAGAGCAAGAAATCATCCCCCCGGGAGGATGGCCACTTTGCAATCCCTTCTCCATTCTCCTCTTGGAGTCTGGGGCACACAAGCACACATGCCCAGCATGAGTTTTAAGCAGCTGGGTCAGGGACTCAAACTGATTGACTATGTGTGAGTCTAGCGATGTAACCATTATGCCATCTGCTGGTCCCCATTTGCTAATTTTTTTCTTGTTTATTCCTGACCAGATCTGCAAAGCGGCTTGCTATTCTCTTTGTGAACCTGTGTGTCACCGCAGAGACTCATGAGGTCTCTGCTCTCTGGTTCCTGTGGTATGTGAAGCAGTGTGGAGGCACGACTAGAATCATCTCTACAACCAATGGAGGGCAGGTAGATGTCCATTCTCTGACAGGCCCAACAGAAAATTCCCACTACTGAAGTGAAAGATTGGTATCACCCTTCTGTCATAAGCTACTGTAGCAGGAGGAAGGCTTGTGGCTTTTAGAGCTTTACCCTGACAGCTGAAAATGGCTTTCATGAGAGACAGTCTGTTGTTAGGTATCCAGTGTGAGGACCCAGCTATGAACATATGTAAGTTTAAGACTAGGCTTGTCTGGGCTGACTCTGTAGCCTGGTGGTTAAGGGACTTGAATTCTACATGATTCACTACAGTTTGAATTCTGGTCCCATTGACATGAAAAACACACTGGGAGTGTGCATGTATGCCCCAAATCCCAACAAGATGGAAAACTAGAGAATAAATTGGGCTTAGGGCCGGTTGGGTACCATGAGTTGAAATGACCTTGGTGGCCAAATAGGCAGCAGGCACCTGATGAGATGGGCAACTTACCACAAGGAATAGGTTAGCTTGGGAGGAGGGCAGAGAAGTTCTGTGCCTGAGTCACTTGGAAGAGGAAACAGGCTTAGGTGTGTCCAGCCAAGTGGTAGCCGAGCTTTAGGTAGGTTCGCCAGGCCCTGCAGTGCAACAAAATAATGCCGATAAGATAGAGCAGGTGTGGTGACCAGACAGGTGGGACAAGAAGTCATTCTACCGATTTCCAACTGAGATTGGAGCCTGGAAATCCACAGGAGCATTGCCCAGAAAATGACTTAGAAAACTTGTAATTTTGTCAAAAGTCTGAAATTCTTGATTAGAAAACATCGGTGAAAGACATTGTTCATGACTGCAAAACGAAATGTTACACATCTTAGGATAAAAATATACAAGGAAAATAGCCATTTAGCATTTTATGCCATGCCTTCATTTCCCACCCACTTCTTGAGTCCTTTTTTCTTCCCAGGAGAGGAAATTTGTGGGCGGATCTGGTCAAGTGAGTGAGCGAATAATGGACCTCCTTGGTGACCGAGTGAAGCTGGAGAGGCCTGTGATCCGCATTGACCAGACAGGAGAAAATGTCCTTGTGGAAACCTTGAACCGTGAGATATATGAGGTAACCAAATCCTTAAACTAGGGTAAAGAGGTCAGAATCCCAGATTTTATAGACAGTCCCTTTCCCAAAAGTGAGAAAGCTACCTCTATTTAAAAGAAGGGAAAAGAGAACCACATATTCCTTTAGGTTTTCACAAGACCTTCCCTGCTTCTCTATTAAGAAGAGATTAAAAGAGGACAAGGGTAGAATGAGAAAGATACATTAGGAAAAAAACAAAACAGACCAGCAATTTAATTATGTTGCTTTTCTTTCAGGCTAAATATGTGATTAGCGCTATTCCTCCTACTCTGGGCATGAAGATTCACTTCAATCCCCCTCTGCCAATGATGAGAAACCAGCTAATCTCTCGTGTGCCTTTGGGGTCTGTCATTAAGTGTATGGTTTATTATAAAGAGCCCTTCTGGAGGAAAAAAGGTGAGTACTTTCCTTACATAAAGACCTTCAAGAGAAGGTGCAGGAAACTTGATGCTAAGACATGCATTTGCATGTAATTGTTTTTATGAGGAATTTGGACATAAAATGTTAGTCCAGGTTCTATTTCCTTTTTAAAAATTTGCCAGAGGGTATAATCACTTGCCAGAGAAAGATAGAGGATACCTAAATTAGTCAGACAGAGCAGGAGAAAGCACCCCTCCCCCATGGAGAAGGGTCATACCACAATCCCATCTCCTTCATTTTTTCATTCTGTGAGGAGTTTGGGCATACACATGCTCCTGGGGTGTTTCTCAAGTCACTGAGGCTGAGACTCAAACCATGCTGGAAGCTGCATAGGATTTGGCTCTCTTAACCAGTAGGCTTTGTGGCCAGCCCAGTCCATGGTCTAAGTACAATTCTTTCAAAAAACATATATTGGCACAAACTCATGGAATTAACTTTCCTTGGAATATGAACAACTTTTTATAATTCAATATAAATTTTGTTTAATCCACCCACAAAATCTTGTGAAAAGAAGTGGTGAACATTTTCCAATATACTTTTTTAATGTGTCGAGTTTATAAAACCATTCACGAAAGTGGGGATTCTGAGAATTTCCAGGCCATATCACATTATTGTCAATATTATACTATGTTAAATTAAATTATTGTATTCACTCATGTATATTCAACAGATTATCTGCCATACCTGGTAGAATTGGACACAAAGATGTTCACTAAGGTGCTAGATTCTGCAGTGATGGAAATGTTCTAGGGCTGCCAGTACAACAGACACTGTCCAAATGTGGGTACTGGATACTTGAAATGTAACTAGTGTGACTGAGGAACCACACTTTAAACCTTTATCTTATTTTAATTTCTTTTTTTTTTAATTGCCAGAGGGCATGTGCTTCATGAGAGAGAGAGAAAAAGGGAGAGAGACAGAGAGAGAGAATGTAGCCCCAATAAGGTACAGTAAAAAATGCAATCCTTTCTCCTCCATTTCTCCATCCTGCTAAGAACATTCTAGGCACACATGTGTGCCTGGCATGTTTTTCAAGCTGCTGGGGCTAAGATTCGAACTATGCAGTCAATCAAATAGAATCCAGCTACCTTAACCACCAGACTATGGAGCCAACCCTGTCTCCTCTCTTTCTTCCCCTCCTATAGTAGGTGATTCCTTAGCTAATTTTCCCATATGTTTAAATCATCTTGAGTTCTTGGATGAACTTTAAACATTTCTTCTGCCCGTATTTCAGTGTTTCCCAATGTTTTTCTTGCCCCAGAAAACCTAAATGGCATACAATTGCCCTGCAAGCCAGTGGCTGACTGGGACATTGAGTGTGGGAAGGTCCTGGGGGCTCTCTCTGCACATGTATGCCCATGATCATGGCTGACTGAGACTGAGGGTGCATTGCGGAGTAAGGACCCTGTTGGGGGCGCACCATCCTCTGTCTCTTTCTGTCTATCTCTCTCTAAAGAAAAAAAATTAAAACTGTTAAAAGGCCATGGAAAGCCAGCCACAGTGACACATGCTACTAAGACACTGTGTTCCACAGACTGGAGGCCACACGGGAGGTTCAGATTTGATTCCTGGTCCAATCTAAAGGCTGGACACTGTCATATGTATGTAATCCCAGTGATTTAAGAGGTTGCTTCAGGAGGATTACAAGCTCTTTTTCAACCATGTCTAAAAAAGAACTGGGTGGAGCCAGCTCTGTGGCCTGGTGCTTAAGGCAATGATCTGACATGGTTGACTCTATGATTCAAGTCCCTGCCCTAGTGGCTTGAGAAACACAGCGAGTACATGTGTGTGCAAACCCAAAATGCCAACAGGATGGAGAGAGGGAGGAGAAGGGATTTTAATGTGCCCATGCTCCATAAGGGGTACTTTCTCCCCCCCCTTCTCTCTCTCTATATATATATCTCTCAAGAACATGTGCCCTTTGACAAAATTTGAAATAAAATGAATGAATAAATAAATAAGTAAGTGCTAGGTATGGTGAGATGTGTGCCAGCAATTCCAGCCTTCAGGTGTGTTGGCTGACAGACATGTGTGTGCACAAGTTGGGAGGCGTGTTTCCTCAGGATTCTTTCTCTGTCCTTTTTTCATCATTTTGAAACTATCTTATTGGTTTTTCTATACTCCATAATTGTGTTCAAGCAACCCTAAATTTGCAAGTAAGTGATGGGACAAGAGGAATAGTCTACTGAATGAGGAGAATATGATTATATTAGGTTGTCAGAAAAGTCATTATGCATTTCGCATAGAAAAACATAGAAAAAAATAGGTCATGACTTTTCTGACAACCCAATAGCATTTAACACTTTGCCCTGGTGGTTTCAGCACTACTTGTCACAATCTTTTGTTGAAACTGAAACTATTGAGCCAACCTTGTGGCCTACTGGTTAAGGGAGCCAGAGTACACAGGGATTGAAAACACACTGGGTGTGTGCATATGTGCCCAGGATCTTGACATGTTGAAGGACTGGGAAAGGGGGATCACACCATAATGAGACCCAGTTGAAGGTACAGCGCTCAATCCTTTTTTCTCCTCTCCCTCTCCCTCCCCCTCTCACTCTCTTCTTCTCCCTCTTCCTCTCACTCTTTCTCATGCACACACACACTCTCTATCATGAATAAAATAAATAAACTTAAAAATGTGAACATTCAGTATCAGGCCAGCAGGTGGTATCGAGGTTAAGGCAAGTGAATCCCACATGGCCAACTATGCAGTTCGAGTCCTGGACCTGGCGCCTTGAAAATCATGGCAGGCACATGTGCAGGCATGCCTAAAATCCTGAGAGGAGAATGGAAGAGAAGTGATTATGGCATGGACATCCCCCCCAGGGGTGATTTCTCACTTTCCCTCTCTCTGTCTCTTTCTCTCTTTCTCTGTCTGTCTCCAGTGAGCACACATGCCCTATAGCAAAACTAAAAATAACAAGAACAATAAAAACATTCAGTCCCTTCTATTTTACAGTAAGACTAGTATTTCTTTTGCACATCTTCAGTTTTATTTTCATTTCCTATGAAAGAAAAAATAGGAGACACAAGTGTAACAGCAAGAAAAATTAGATTTCATTAAAAGATGGCCTGAATCAACTCTTAATATCACATTTCTCCTTTGTGGAGAAGGGCTTTTTTGTTTGTTTTTCTGTGGGTTGTTTTTTTGTTTGTTTGTATTTCCCACAGAAAAGCCCTCCTTTTCACGTCAGTTTGGTTTGTCTTCATATATTTAGAATGTAATATGCTATATTTAACCTTCAGACTTTTCAAGTTGAAAAACCTGGGCTTCACTATAACTGGTACTTGTAGTTTGATAAGGGAGATGACTATGTTCTTCATTTTGCTCTTCTCCAAGATTACTGTGGAACCATGATTATTGAAGGAGAGGAAGCTCCAATTGCCTACACATTAGATGATACCAAACCTGATGGCAACTATGCTGCTATAATGGGGTAAGGCATTACCCTATTACAATGTTGTGGCTACTATTCAGTGTTGACAGGGTAATCACATACAATTAATAAATGTGCTTCAAACTTTGTGAAGTGATTTTTTTCTTAAACTCAATAATGCTATTCTCCAAACAGCTGTAGAAAAATGTATACTGCTGCTTTTTAGAATAATGTCTTCTAATGAATCAATGTCTAGAATGGAAGTAGAATTCCAATAACATTTTTAAATCTGTTCCAATAACATTTTTAAATCTGTTACTTTAATTTTCAGCTTCATTTTTCCTGCTGGGGGTAGGTCTATTTTGGTAAGCCATCTTTTGTCAAAAATATTGTGTTTTAGTAAGAAGAGTTCTTGTGGAGGCTGTGTAATCATTAATGTTATTATGTGGGATACTAAGATTTTTCTGAGTCCCACCAGAGTGGTCCCAAGTTTAGTCCAGTCTTTAACTTACCAGGGATGACCGTACAGATGGGGGATATCTTGGGGGTCAGAACCTGGCCTAGAGAGATTGTTACCTGGAACTGCCAAAATTGAGATGGACCCTAGGACAGGTATGAATTTATCTTAAAGAGAGCCAAGGGTCAGAACAAGACAAAAGTCAATTGTTAAGGTGCAGGCAGTCATAGGACTAGAAATGGGTATAGAATCTAGAAGGCTGGGTGTTAGGGAGACACTGTGACAGAGATCAAAGCAAAGAGCAAGGACTGGCCGAAGTTGTGAGGACTCAGATAACCGTAAGTGTACATTCGAGGCCTGGGACTCATTCCTATTGACCACCAGCCAGCTGAGGGGAAGTGGGTCAGTTATAGAGTTATCCTAGGCAGAAATTATTGCCAGTCATTCATTGGTTCTCTGAAACTAGAAGGTCCTCTTCAGTGTCAGGGATGTAATTAGTAAGACCTTGAACATAAAATAAGCCAGTATATAGTTTGTCTTTACTGACTGCATTTTAGCATTGTACACTGGGCATATGTGTCGCTATTGAAATGAGTCCAGGGATGAAAGTAACAATTAATTTTCCTCCTTTTTCTTGTTTGTATGTTTTAGATTTATCCTTGCCCACAAAGCTAGAAAACTGGCACGTCTTACCAAAGAAGAAAGGTAACAAAAGAAGTGCCTCTTTTACCCTCTCTCCTTCCCTCCCTTCCTTTCTTCTTCCCTCAAAACCTCACTTTCTGTCTCCTTCCTTTTCCTTTTCCTTCCTTTCCTTTCTCCCTCATTCTTTTTCCTCCTTCTTTCCTTCTTTTCTGCTTACTTCCCTACTTTTCAGTTTTACCTCATTTTTAGTTTAAAGACTGATTAATGATTTGTGTACTGCCAATACATGTCTGTTATGTTATTTGTGAAGGTCTTATATAAAGACACAGTGGTAACCGTGAACCAAGTGTTCAACTTTATATTCACTGAATTTACTTTAAGATATTATGAGGGAACCAGCAGTTAGCGTAACGGCTATGTCGCTGGACTCCCACGTAGTCGACCGCGGTTCGTGTCCTGGACCCGGTGACTTAAAACTCACGCCGGGCGCGTGTGTGTGCGTGCCCAAGATCCCGAGAGGAGAATGGAGGAGAAGGGATTGTGGCGTGACCATCCCCCCTGGGGGGTGATTTCTCGCTTTCTGTCTCTATGTCTCTCTCTGTCTGTCTGGCAAGCGCACGCGCCCTACAGTGAAAATCTCTCCAAAAAAAAAAAAAAGATATTATGCTAGGAGCTATGGGCCAGATGAAAATGGGTATAACCTATGGACTAAAAGTGGACTTGTGGAAGAGATAACTAGATGGACAAACCACTGCATTGCATGGGGCCAACAGGTGACATAGTGGTTAAAGTGCTGGGCTCCTACATGGCCAACCATAGTTTGAGTCCTGGACCTGGGAGCTTGAAAACCACACTGGATGCATGCGTGTGTGTGTGTGTGTGTGTGTGTGCGTGTGTGTGTGTGTGTGTGACCAAAATCCCAAGAGGAGAATGGAGGAAAAGGGATTGCATCATGGCCTTCTCCATTGGGAGATGATTTATCACTTTCCCTTTTTCTGTCTCTCTCCAGTGAGTGCACATGCTCTGTGGAAAAATCGTAAAAAAAAAAAAATCACTGCATTTCAGGGCAGTCTGCAGTACATACTAGATGAAAAATACAGAACAATGACATAGTATAGTGCAGAGGGATCAATGTCTCCAGAGGTGGCAGTTTCTTCTGGGAGTTGGTATTCCTGATGGACAATTACTTTTTCCCACACCACTACTAACGTATTTACATCTTAGAGCTCCTGAATTACACTATGGTTCATTATTTCCCCTTATGTCACTATGCTCTTCCATGTCCTTTGTTATGGAAGGCTATGGAGGTCTCCCTGGGTCACTTACCTAAAACCACCCCCACTAGAATGTAAGCTCCATGAAGGGAGGAAATTTTGTCTGGTTGGTTCACTTTGGATTCCCAATACCTGAAAACAAAAGTTTTCCCAATTTGTCTTTTGATCATGTTTATGGTTTGTTTTATACTACAGTAAATTTTATCTTTTTATAAATTTTCAAATCCCATCATTGTACATCTTTTTTTAATTTTTAAATTTATTTTTATTTTTAATATTTTTTTTAATTTCAAGAAACGCAGTTTTAGCTTTAATTCATCAAAATCAAAGAAATGCTAAGAGAGCTTTGCTTAAAACTTAAAGCCAGGATACAGGTTAGGATTCTGTTCAAATTGTAGGTACATGAACCTATCGGCAGCTTAAGACAAGACAAAAATCCTTAAATCCGGAAATCAAAGCCTAGAAGAAAATCAGTAGTGTTTTAGTCAAAAAGTATAAGATTCTATTTCACCAGTTCAGTCTCATCTATCTTCTCTTGTGGTCCAATCTTACTGATTAAATTCTGGGATATAATATTCAACTCCAGACTTGTCCGTTCCATTAGGTTGGCTATTTTCTTAGTTGTTTTTTTTATGTTATTTACATTTTCTTCCATACATTCAATCACATTATTATTTGTCTTACAAAATAGATATTTAAACAGGTGAACATTTCTCCCTAGTACTGTTGATAAAACTATGAAATATCTTCAACAGATAATACCACACCTCTTTGTGCCATTAATGCTTTCCCTCCCTGTCCCACCTCCAAATGTCCTTCCTCAGACCCTCCTCTTTCACACACATTGTATCTTGTATTTACCTCTATATACTGCGTTTCTATGACCTTTAGACAATTAGTTTCAGTCATAGAGTGCAGACACTCGGTATATATCCCCCTGTCTCAACGATGCTGTCGCCGTATCCCTCCTCCAAATGTTTTTCCCCAGGCCCCACTCCTCCACACACACCACATCTGCCATTCACACCCATCTCTTGTGTTTGTACATCCTTTAGCCCATCAAT